CATTCTTTCTTTTACATTTACCTTTTTGCATTCCGTAGAAAATAGATCAATTTCGACATAATAATACATATTAATAAACATAAGTTAAAGCTAGGTACATATCTACTAAAGACGTAGTTGAATAATGCTGAATTATGCACTATTGTCGTTATTTTTTTTTCATAGATTATGGGTGACAAACGAACACACATTCCACCTGATGGTAAGTGGAAGCTGTAGCCCATAGACATCTACATTTATCTTCGATTAAGTATAAAAATCTGGATGCAATATCCCACTTGAGGACTAAGTGGAATGATTCGCTTCCAGTAGAAAGCGTCTCGTGATCTCTACACTCTAAGTATTCTCTGAGAGAGCGTAGTCCTACCTAGGTCGAGCCGACTCATTCGTGTTACAACCACAATATATGTAGCTGCAGCGTGGCTCTACAACATAAGTAAAAATATCGTGGAAAAAATAAACTATAAACATAGAACCGTACTTATTTGAAATATATTATTTATTTATGTTTGTCCAATCGACACCGGTCTTACTCCTCGGAAAGTACACAGAGACGGAAAGACACACACTGCTACGATAGTTATCTACGCCGTAGCTACGATTAATACCTCAGTCTGTCTCTTTTTCTCGCTTCACCACAACTACCAATAAATCGGTTACGATCGTCCTATTCGTTTTCCTCTCTGTTCCCTCAAGATATTATCCTTTTTTCATCCATTCATTACAGCCTATCCAAAGTCTACTAGGGACATTGGGCCTCTCTATAGATTGTCTCTAAAGGAAATATTTGCCATAGTTCACTTTCTCGGTAACCGTAGTTTTAAAGTGAAAACTTCTTTAGCATCGTTGTGATTTGAAACTGGATAAAACGAAAAAGCGACTCTAAAAAAGAGACAAACGTATTTATACATCTATATAATACATCTAATGAGATATAATACAGTACAGGGTACAGTGTAGTAGGCGACAGTAGCCTAATTGCAAGGTGTGGACTGCGAACTCAAAAAATTGTGGATTCGAATCCGCCATTTTTTTAAACTTGCCAATAATGGTTAAATGGATTTTCAGTAATGTTAATAGCATTGCTAGTAATTTTTTTTAAATAGTGTTTCCTATTATTTCGGTATGATCTTTGTGCGGTGTTATAAACATGGCTAATATACATTTTAACTGATAAAATAAATAGTTAAAAATTAACAAATTTATTATTGTTATTTTAAATAAATAAAATGAACCATATTGATAAAAATTAACTTAATTTGCCTATTTACACTAATACACGATTTCATAAATTCATGCCATCTAGCGTCTATTGTACGTACCACCTTGAGAGTCAATCAAATTTCGTTTGATAATAACTTTACCTATAGAATGAAGTTTTTCTGTATAAGAAATTATTCTTTTAATTTATTACACTAAAATTAAGTTTAAATAAAAATAAGGATTGTAACATTTATCTAATATTTGAAAACTAATTTTTGTTTGTTCGTACATCGTACCGATAAAATTATTTGAACGTTATAATATATTACTCAACTTCAATGAATGCATTATCATTTTCAATTAAACAATATTAAAACGATATTTCCGTTATTATTTTTTCTGCGGCAGCAACGTGCCGGGTAGCAGCTAGTATAGTTTAGCTATAAAATTAAACTTTTATCTTATATTTTATGCCGCACTTGTGGTTGAAAATTATAATTTTAAATAAATTATTTGTCATGATATATTTTTATTTAATATTTCATTTCATTACATTTAAAGGTTTCAATGTGTGTTCGTGTGCACTATACACATTTTGTTATCGTCGTGCGTGGTTATCGGGAAGATGCTGTTACCTATCTTCTGTTTAATTTCCTTCCGTGATTATATATTTAAGATCGAAGGCGGCGTAAACTTTACCCTCATATACCACGATATTTTATGCCGTAAAAGAATTTTAACAGCTAACACTTCGTAATTTAATGAAATTAGATTTTTTTATAGAATAAGAGTGACAAACGAGCAAACGGTCCACCTGACATCTACATCTCGTAACCCATGGTCACGGGGGGACTCCCCCGTGATCATGGGTTAAAAGTAGTTTTATTCAATACGTTTAACGTAATTATATTATATCTTAAGCAAACTTAAAATTTTACATTTTTAATGGTCCGATTTTATACAACAAACAATTTTCACTTATTGAATAAAACTGCTTTTACGTATTCTATCGCGTTTAATCGGGTCAATCCCCCGTGACCATGGGTGCTGTAAAGTACCCGAAACGTCGGGAATCAAAAAAAGCAATTTAATTTAACGCGATAGAATCCGTAAAAGTAGTTTTATTCAATGTGTAGTGTTCGCGTAAATATAAGAAATCATTAATTTTCACTTACTTGCCGTGTTACAAATTTAACAAAGAAAGTAACAAATTTTCCATAAATGGATAAAAAACGTACGTTACTAAAGCTATGATAGGAAGTGCTATGTAACTTGGCAGCCTGAAATCTCAACCCTGTTATCGGTAAATCCGATAACCTCGAACGTCATTTGTACTCGATAATACTAATGGTAGCATTGAACACTATTTTTCTTCATGGCAGGACCCAATATTATTATATTCTGGTGATTGAAACGAGTACCACGACGTACTGATCAGTTAATGTAAGCTATTACAGACCTCATTTTGAGAGGCTTATGGAGCAATTTGGCTTATATTAGTTTTTTGAACTTTATATTAAACACAAAAACACACACACACATACACACACACATCCTCGAAATATTTCATTCCTCACACATGAAGATTTCCTCACGCTTTTCCTTAACCGCAAAAATGGAACTTAACGTTTTTATTGGTGCAGTGTGAATTGAACCCGAAGTCCTCGCGTACTGTGAAATATACGGCGCGCGCTTAACCCCTGAGCTACTACAGTTATTTACTATGAATAGTATGCAATAAATTAAATCAAAGACATATTTCATAATAATTTTTAAAAAAATAAGAGAAAAGAACATTAACGAGACATTATCTATTTATATAAAAATCTGAACTGATTCAAACTCGCAGTCAGACTCGCAAAAACTCGAAAATGGCTCGACCAATCGTGATGATTATTTTGTTTGTTTGAGAGGGACTCTGGATGGTGTAGGTTCACAATTGTAGGTGATACTGTTCTCGAGATCCAGAAGTCATCCGAGCGAAGCCGAGGCAGATCACTAATTTATCATAAAGAATAATTAAGACCTTTATTTTAAAAGTTTTTTATTTTAATTATTTTATTAGTCCCATTAGTTTTTTTTTTATTTCATTAATTATTTCACTGGATAAATTTTGTTTTTAATTTATTCTCTATCATCAATGTTGTGTTCATCTAATACAGGTATTCATATAAGAACATGGTAATGATATATACACATAATACTATTTTTGAAGTACCTTATAAATAAATAAATACTGATGAATTAAATACATTACAGTAAAAAAAAAGTTTGACCTATACACTCACAAATATTTGCAGTATTCTGATAGTTTGACACAAATATAAACAAACGCAATCGTAACATCGAAAATAGACTACTCGAAGGCGTAAATATTTTCTAACAATGTCCGAGTCCGAGCAAAGTCATCTCCTTCAACAAATATGGCTTAGAAATTCACAGAATTATAAAAACTAGATGTACCTTTAACCTCGGAAACGTATATTCATTATTCCCATAGTACTAAATTCTTTCCTACTTCTTATAGAAAACTTTCTTCTTTCCTACTTCTTATAGAGAACTTTTAAGTTTCATAAACTCATTTATATTTTTTTTCAAACATACAAAGTGTAAATATTGTTTAAAACAGTTTTTAAGGAACCTCTTCTGGCTTTGCTATATTTCTTTGTAAGCCCTATTGGCTATCTGGACATCTGTAGCCATTCCACACTGTTTACATTTCATCTCTCAGAGCAACAAACGCTGTAGTCAGAAGGGGAATGCGCGCGCAAAGATCTCAAATGCGATAGCTTTGAGGGCTTCTTATCATGATCACACGCCTGACGCTTTGCTATTGAAAACTTACTTTTGCATACGCTTTTGCCTGCAGCTTCTTACGTTTATTTTTAAATGTTAAATAGTTATTAAGACAATTTTTGGTTATGAAACCGAAACAAGTCAAGAGTGAATAGGCATTTTCTAGATTTACGTGCTTAGACTTTACTCCTCCAACATCTCTTCTTTTCATACATTGGGCTATCATTGATTAAAAAATAGATACTTGAATAAAATTATTCTTTGAGGATTTTATCGCGTTTAATTTATTATTTTAATTCTCGACGTTTCGGGTGCTTTACAGCAACCCATGGTCACGGGGGGGGCGGGGGGGGGGCTCAGTCCCCCCGTATTTTATGTTTGACGTCCCGATGTCGCAGTCAGCCCGGCTACCTTCAGTTTTTTAATAATAATTTTTAGTTCGATTTACGCAGAATGAACTTACAGTATCTTAAAGTCTTGCAGTGGTATGCTTGGGTTTGGATTTAATGTTGTTAATTATAGGATCCCAAGCAGATGGCAGCACCCATCCATCTTCTCTATTGAAATTAGGATGTTTTTTTTTTTAATTTCAATAGCCTCGCGTATCATTCTTTTTAGGAATCGGTGTTCTTTTGCGAGGATTTGTAGTCTATCAAATCTGATGTAATGGCGGGAACGATCTTGAACATCTTCATAGACTACAGACTTAACATCAAACGTCGGGAATTAAAATAGTAAATTAAACCCGATAAAATCCGTAAAAAATAATTTTATTCAATGTGTAGTATTCGCATAAATATAAGAAATCATTAAATAGATACTTTCAATTACATAATAAAACCAATGTATTCCTGCAGAAAAAGTATGATTTATTGCAATACATATTGTTTTTATCAAATTAGCATAAAAATTATCGTTATTAACTCTCATAAAATTAGTTTAATAAAAAGCATTCGTTTAATAAAACAAAATTAAGAAAACAGATTCAAGTGTAAAAAAAATTAGTTAAAAAGTGCATTACTTGGTATCGTTACATCGATACCAGTTTTGTCTTCATTACTTTCTTTGTTTTTATTGTCTAAACCTGGTGTTGTATGTCGCTTATCCGAAGGTAAAGTAGAAATTGATTTCATATTTTTATCTTGATCATCCGAATTGGGACGGCCTCTTAAATATACGTGATGACCACATTTACAATCTGACTCGATTTGCATTCGATTATTATAGGTATTCTTATTAATATTACAATCATGACAATAATGGATTCTATTTATGTGATCCTGAGGAACTCCCTTTCCCTCACTTCCCTCTGACTTTTCTTCTAAGGCGTTTTTTAAGTATTGATCCCAACCTTGATCGTCGTCGATACTTCCATCCATGACTTTCCCACCGATATCATCGTCTAAAATAAATGTACTGTCACGTTGTTCATGTTGATTAGCTAATTCGCTCTTAAAAAAAGTAAGTTTGGATTCATAGGGATGTGAATATTCCGTATTATATTTTTTTACCAAACTTTGTCTTAAGTCTAATGATATTTTCGAAATTGTATTGTGATTACGCAGACGCAGTTGTGCATTTGGAGCTTCAGATGCCTGACGTTCAGTTTCTTGTAGTACTGATTTTACTTCCTCATCATTGTTATTAGAACGCACCAATGGTGTTTTGAGAAGTTCAAGGTATTCACGCTGTTCATTTGAAACATTATTTACGTCTTGAATTTTCGTTTCTGATGTTTGGTTCATTGTTCCATACTTTTTGTTATCTTGTTGCACACTGATTTTTTTGTTACATGATTTAGTTAATAATGTACCCTGAGTTTTATCAAGTGCTTTCGCCATTCTATAACTATCTACGATTTCTTTTGCAGGGGTAACTATGTTCAGTGTTAAAAACCTTTGACTTAATTCTTCAAATCCAGTATTATCTGAATTTGTCATTATAGACTTTGGTAAATCATGTAGAATATCATTGGGATTTTGCATTTGTGAATGAAATAAATTAAGCATAGGTGTTTTAAACTTTTGACGTATAAAGATAAACGATCTCTCGTTTATATTTTTCGGATTTGCTGCACCTTGACTCAATATTTCTGAATCATCAATGCAATTTTTTGAATTCTCAAGATTTGGGATTAAGGTCTTTGACAATTTGGTACCAAAAGACTTTATATCCCCGCTTTCAGTTGTTCCTAAATTTATTGCTTTTTTTGCCAATTCTTGTTTCGTAATCTGCAACAAAGGTAAATTAATATTTTTGATATTATTTATAAATCAAATATAATTGTCACCACAATTCCTACAAGTGTTTCAGTCATTAAATGTATGATTTTTTTTTTCTATTAGAAATATGTACTTTTAAAAATTTGCTATTTATTTATATTAAATTAACTAAACATTAAAAATAAAGTCCGATTGAAGTTCACCGTATCAAGTATTGTTAATATACGTAGAAATAGTTAAAAAAATTCTATCTTCATAACATGTTGTTGAAGGAATAATTCCTTTATATTTTTTAATTCATCATTAGAACTGTGCTTTGAATATCCAATTTAATATAAGAGCGCTCTTTGCCTTAACATATTTATGAACTAAAAATAAAAAATAAAATGCAAAATTAATATAAATTTAAAATTATTTACAAGAAACTTCCCTTTCTACAAATAACAGAATAAAAATTTAAACGTTTTTTTTTATTAGTACCCAAGGTACATATTTTCGTATCAGAATATAAAGTAGATTTTTACTTTACTCATATTAAGATAGGTCGTACTTTACAAGTGATGCAAAAAAAATTGTATCGTCTTGGTTTTTGCATCACTTGAAACAAAAACAGAAACAGAAACTTTTTTATTCAATATAGATTATAAATAGTACTTATAAAAAGTCACTTTATGTTAATTTAACAATGGTTCGAGAAAAAAACCTCTGTCCTGGGAAGTTCCAGCAAAAAATTCAGCGGGACTTTTTTTGAACAATAAAATAAACAGATTACAAGCATATATGTTACAAAAGTAACAACACAAAACAAATTAGAAATATCTTGGTAGCTATCACCTCATCCCGGAAGTTATTATCATCCATAAATTCCTTAATATTATAATAACCCTTTTTATACAAACTTTGAGGTGAAATTTTGTATATTGGAAGATATTAACAACTAAAAGATTTAGGGTATGGCGACCTTTTCTGCTAATTGATGATTAAATTTATCTTTTTTACATAGAAGAGGAAGCAAACAAGTATAATATGCCTTACCCAACGGTAACTAACCACCGCCAGACACGTTATCTATGTAGATTCATCATTATCTTCAATAGCCTTTTACGAGTCCACTACTGAATATAGGGCATAAGGCGTTCCTCAAATAATATCACAATAGAGTCGTGAACCTCACACATCCATCGAATTCCTGCATGTCTTACCAGGTGTCACTCCATCTCGTGAGCTGCACTACACTTCGCTTAACGGCACGAGGTTGCTACTCAAGAACCTTTCTCCCCCATGAATTGTTGATGCAGATGGTATTAGTTAGCTGAAGTGACAATGGGCATAGCTCGTAGTACCGACAACCATTAGAGTAGCAAGATTCTGGAGTGACGGCCGCGCGTCGCACCAGTAAGCGGAATATAGGGCGATCCTCATTAGATGGAGTGACATGCATGAAAGGACATGCAACATGGATGAACGCAGTTGACCAAAGCTTTTGTTTTGTGGCATTTCTTGGAGAACGCCGCAGCAGTAGACTTTATAAATCCACTGCTGAAGTAAAGTCATGATGATGTTAAAAAGAAGACTTGCTGCGCGACATTAATTAAGTTTATCATTTCAATTGCGGTTAAAAAATACTCTATTACTATAATTAAACTCTAACACGACGTCTGTCTGAACACGCATCACGTAAAAACCTGTGAACCAATTTGGATAGGACCTTCACTGGCAGATGCTGATGTTATAAGGAGTAACTAAGACTAGTTTTATTTTAGGAAAATCTATACTATAATAAAACTCTAACACGACGTCTGTCTGAACACGCATCACGTAAAAACCTGTGTACCGATTTGGATGGGACTTTCACTGGCAGATAGCTGATGTGATAAGGAGTAATTTAAACTAGTTTTATTTTAGGAAAATCTATACTATAATAAACTTTAACACGACGTCTGTCTGAACACGTATCACGTAAAAACCTGTTAACCGATTTGGATAGGACCTTCACTGGCAGATAGCTGATGTTATAAAGAGTAACTAAGACTAGTTTTATTTTAGGAAAATCTATACTATAATAAAACTCTAACACGACGTCTGTCTGAACACGCATCACGTAAAAACCTGTAAACCGATTTGGATAGACCTTCACTGGCAGATAGCTGATGTTATAAGGAGTAATTTAAACTAGTTTTATTTTAGGAAAATCTATACTATAATAAAACTTCAACACGACGTCTGTCTGAACACGCATCACGTAAAAACCTGTGAACCGATTTGCATGGGACTTTCACTGGCAGATAGCTGATGTTATAAGGAGTAACTTAGGCTCGTTTTATTTTAGGAAAATCTATACTATAATAAAACTTTAACACAACGTCTGTCTGAACACGCATCACGTAAAAACCTGTGAACCGATTAGCATGGGACTTTCACTGGCAGATAGCTGATGTTATAAGGAGTAACTTAGGCTAGTTTTATTTTAGGAAAATCTATAATCTATATACTATGGCATATAGCTGATGTTATAAGGAGTACCTAACTTAGGCGGTTTTTGTTTTACGAAAAGAATTAAGGTTCTGCGCAAAAAAATTAAAACCCATGAAATCCAATCCATGAATTCCACGCGGGCGAAGTCGCGAGGAACAGCTCGTTATTTATATATATAAGAAACTATTTGCAAAATGAGTGATGTCAATAATTTTAATACGCTCAATAAATCTAAACTTTTCGTTCCAAATAGGCAAGTTTCATAAAATTTGCATAATTTATTAACAATTTTTAAACAAAAACGCAAATTCGTAATATTACATTAAACCTGTAATATTTATTACGAATTTGCCTTTGCTCAAATTCAAAGCGCATGTAAAAAGCATTCATATGAAGAGATGATGTTATAAATTAGATGACTATTTAAATGGTAATTCGTGGATATAATAAGTATCCAACTTTTTTCTTACTAATGTTTATATTTTATAAGATTAATTATAAATGTTAAGATAAATAACAGTCTACTTGTGAGTTTCTTACCGCTTAATACTCCCGCATTTGGGACATTTCGAAACTTTTTTGACTTACCAAAAGTACTTTTTAAAGTCCAATTTTAAATAAAAATACAACGACTTTCACATTGAAAATGCTTAATTTACTGCTTATATTAATATAATTTATAAAACCCGCACAATCTCAGAATAACTTACCTTAATAATGCTCGAGGGAACTATATATCCGGAAGCAATTCCAATACAGAAGAAAAATGAAACTGCAACCTCATTTCTCATCTTCCAGTTGGTATCGTAAAATTGTTTAAAAATAGAAACTAAAAATATGTCTGCAACTTTTCAGAGCAATTTCTAAGTGTAGTTTCAACCGAATGATTGTTCGCAAGAAACGTCGCGATAGTTTAGAAACGTACTGAACTGAAAACAACATTACATCTTCAATCATAAACATAAAATTAGAACAATAGAAACAATAAACTGATGAGCTCACAATGCAGTAGTTGATAGCATGGAAAATAAATAAGGATTTTATTTGGTGAAATTTTGTCTGTAGTAGTAAGAAAAATAGCTTGTACTTTGGTGTATAAACTTTTCTTCGATATACTTTCCTGGATTAGCAAACTTTGATTAGACTGTACCTTGTTTCATATAAAGTAAATTGCAACACTGATTGAGTTCTCAGTTACAGTACAAGGAATAAACCTTTAGAATTACACTACCGTAATATTTAAAAAAAAATACTTTATTGCACACACCAATAAGAATAAAAACAAAAAGAACGAGTATTTTTTTGTTCTTCTCATTTTAAGTCCAAATTGTGAGTTTTGTTCCTAATTACCAATAATTCTTTACGTTTAAATGGTCACATAAATTTTATATATACGATAGAATACGCAAAGAATGTTGCATCACTTTGCGTATTCTATCGTATCTTCCACGGGCAGTGCTAAGAGGAATTGTTCGGACTAATTACAGCCTCAATTCCACCATCGCACATCGCGACAGTGTGTTAGTGGACGATTTGAATGACAAGCTCGTGGAAACTGTCCATGCGGTCGGAGCTAAGTTCTGCAAGACCCGCCGCAGAAGAACACAAAAACTCTCCCATCACACTCTTAATCTCATGTCTGTTAGACGGGAGATGAAGCTACATTCTTCAACAGATTTGACAGCATACAGACAACTGAACAGACAGATCTCTAAATGCATGCGGTGGGACTTACGCAACTTCAATACAGCTTGTATTGAAGAAGCGATCGAGCGGAACCAAGGCTCCAAAGTGTTTGCCAGAGATCTGTCTGCCAGAAAGAGCCAACTGTCAAAGCTGAAGACCGAATGTGGCAGCATCGTTTCCGGGGCACCTGAGATTTTGAGTGAGATTGAGAGGTTCTATGGGCAGCTGTACACGTCATCGTTGGAGCCGCAAGTGTGAGTAACGATCCAAGAGCGAGTCTTATCCGACATTATTCCGATGATATCCCGGACGTAAGTCTGAGCGAGATAAGAATGGCTCTCCGGCACCTTAAAAACGGCAAGGACCTAAGCGAGGATGGAATTACAGCGGAGCTTCTGAAAGTGGGTGGAAAACCGGTACTTGAAGTCCTTCAGAAGCTCTTTAATTCCGTCCTCCATGGTGGCATTACACCGGAGGCGTGGAGCAGAAGTGCGGTGGTCTTGTTCTTCAAGAAAGGCGACAACGCTCTCTTGAAGAACTACATACCGATTTCCCTTCTGAGCCGCGTCTACGTGCTGTTTTCGAGAGTCATTACGAATCGTCTCGCGCGCAGACTTGACGACTTCCAGCCTCCCGAACAAGCCAGTTTCCGAAAAGGCTTTAGCACCATAGACCACATACATACCATTCGGCAAATTGTACAGAAGTCCGAGGAGTACAATTTGCCACTATGTCTGGCGTATGTGGACTATAAGAAAGCCTTTGATTCCGTCGAAATTTGGGTGGTGCCGCAGTCCCTTCAGCGATGCCAAGTTGACTGTCGGTATATCGAAGTGTTGAAGTGTACAGTAGGGCTACGATGGCTATCCGAGTACAAAACCTCATTTCTGAGTTTATCACGCAGAGAAACTCCGAGCATAGCCTTCTCCATAGCTCGCTGAGTGACCTTGAGCTTCCTCATCCGGCCAGCAGTGAAGGACCACGTCTCAGTTCCGTATGTCATCACTGGCAACACGCACTGGGTGTACAGTCTCGTATTCAAGTTTTGAGGTTCGCTGACGAGAACATGTGTCGTAGTTTCCCGAACGCTGCCCAGCCGAGTTGAATCCGTCGATTGACCTCTCGGTCGAAGTTAAGATTACCTAGTCGGACTATTTGTCCCAGGTAAACATACTCGTCAACAACTTCGAGCTTAGTGCTCCCAACAACTACCGGCATAGGTGTGACATGGACATTGTACATGATCTTAGTTTTGTCCATGTTCATCTTAAGAACTATCCGTTGGTAGACACTATTGAGGTCATTGAGCATGGTGCTTAGATCCTCCAGCGATTCTGCCATAAGGACTATATCGTCGGCAAATCGAAGGTGAGTGATGTACTCGCTATTGATGTTAATACCGTATCATTTCCAGTCCAGAAGCTTGAAAACGTCTTCCAATGCAGCGGTGAAGAGTTTCGGGGATATAACGTCACCCTGTCTTACACCTCTCTGCAATTGGATAGGTTTCGTACTCTGGTTCTGTACTCGGATAGCCATCGTAGCCCTACTTTACAAGTACTTCAGCACTTCGATATACCGACAGTCAACTTGACACCGCTGAAGGGACTGCAGCACCGCCCAAATTTCGACGGAATCAAAGGCTTGCTCATAGTCCACATACGCCAGGCATAGTGGCAAATTGTACTCCTCGGACTTCTGTACAATTTGCCGAAGGGTATGTATGTGGTCTATGGTGCTAAAGCCATTTCGGAAATCGGCTTGTTCGGGAGTCTGGAAGTCGTCAAGTCTGCGCGCGAGACGATTCGTAATGACTGTCGAAAACAACACGTAGAACCGGCTCAGAATGGAAATCGGTCTGTAGTTCTTCAAGAGAGGGTTGTCACATTTCTTGAAGAACAAGACCACCGCACTTCTGCTCCACGCTTCCGGTGTAATGCCACCATGGAGGACGGAATTAAAGAGCTTCCGAAGGACTTCAAGTACCGGTTTTCCACCCGCTTTCAGAAGCTCCGCTGTACTTCAATCCTCGCCTGGGGCCTTGCCGTTTTTAAGGTGCTAGAGAACCATTCTAATCTTGCTCAGACTGACGTCCGGGATATATTCGGAATAGTGTAGGATAAGACTCGCTCTTGGATCGTTACTCACACTTGCGTGTGGCTCCAACGATGACGTGTACAGCTGCCCATAGAAACTCTCAATCACACTCAAAACCTCAGGTGCCCCGGAAACGATGCTGCCACATTCGGTCTTCAGCCTTGACAGTTGGCTCTTTCTGGCAGACAGATCTCTGGCAAAGACTTTGGAGCCTTGGTTCCGCTCGATCGCTTCTTCAATACAAGCTGTATTGAAGTTGCGTAAGTCCCGCCACATGCATTTGGAGATCTATCTGTTCTGTTGCCTGTATACTGTCAAATCTGTTGAAGAATGTAGCTTAATCTCCCGTCTAACAGCCATGAGATTAAGAGTGTGATCGGAGAGTTTTTGTGTTCTTCTGTGGCGGGTCTTGCAGAACTTAGCTCCAACTGCATGGACAGTTTCCACGAGCTTGTCATTCATATCGTCCACTTCATTGCAGTTTTCTAGGCACTGAAAACGATTTTGTAACTCGAGCTGAAAGGTTACAGGACTTTGGAACAGAGCACGAGGGGGACGGAGCGTTGACTTCATTAGAAGAGACCTCTCCAACTTAACGTTTAGGTTCAGTGTGCCTCTAACCATTCATTGATCGCTAACTGTTTTCACCCTCGCGATCACGGAGACATCACTAAACAGTTGTCGTCTGGTCGTCATAATGAAGTCAATCTCATTTTTTGTCGAACCGTCAGGGCTCGACCAGGTCCACTTCCTGTGGGGCCGCTTCTGGAAGAAAGAGTTCATCATAAAGAGTCCCTCTTTCTCCATGAAGTCGGCTAGCTGCTGACCCCTTGGGTTCCGTTGCCCTATTCCAAATTTCCCTATTTTCATCTCACCGTTCTCTCTTGTGCCTAGTTTTGCATTGAAGTCTCCCATTAACACCGTATATTGGGTTTTGGAGGAATGCATGGCTCTAGAGATATCTTCATACATTTCCTCCACCTCCTCATCGGGGTGTGCCGAGGTTGGTGCGTAAATCTGTATGACCTTCAGCGAATACCGTTTGGTGATTCTGAGTATAAGGTACGCAACCCTCGTCGACACACTCTCGATCTTTACAACGTTGTTAACGAGAGACTTGTGGATGATAAATCCGACACCCCCTTGAGACAGATGGTCGCCTTCCCGGTGATAGAGCAAGTTATCGGATTCGAGGATTACCGTGTCCTCCCCCTCTCTTCGGACTTCGGATAAGCCTATAATATGCCAGCGTAACTTGTCTATCTCTTCTTCCAGCTCCACGATCTTCTCGGCAGTCCTCAGGGTGCGTGCGTTGTACGTTGCCAGGTCGAGTCGTCTAAGGTGGCAACCGAACCTCCACCGGAGATTCTTCTCACCCCCTGCCCCGCCGTTACCACGATCGCCACCGTAGCCAGGAATAGCAGGGCCGCCGGGGACAGAGGGGCCGCCTGTTTGTTGCTTTAATCATTGGGGGTGTTTGCCATAGTTGCCACGCTTGGCGAGCGGGTTGGCAACCGCAGTTTTTTTATTGTAATTTCGTCTACTATCAGGAAGATGCTGCTGCCCATCTCCTGCCTGTTTCCCTTTGTCGCCTTTTACGACACCCAAGGGAATATATGGGGTAGTGGATATTCTGGACCGCCACTACACGGCACGTCCGTTTCATAAAATAAAGTTCCGTTTAATAAAATAAAGTTCCGCTGAATAAAATAAAATGACACGTCTTTTTATTTAGCTTGTTTGAAGAGCACCTCTCGCTCTCCTTCAATTGCGTGCATTATCCCCATCGCCACTACTCTCAACAGTGTAGTGGACACTATGAAAGACAAACCACCTTCGATGTCGTTTGGAGGTAAGACACTATAAATAGACTTGGTGATTACTAAGAAACCCAGGAGGTTCCTTCAAACTAGTTAAGACACATCATTTTCAAAAAGGAGCCGGTACTCAATTCGACTGTATGTTTTTTTATGTATGTTACCTCATAACTTTTTACTGAGGGAACCGA